CAACTAAATGTAAATACTATACCACGATGTCTCAGAGAACAGAGACAATTTCGGCTTACACAAAGAAGCAAGACAGAGAACTTTGAACAAGTGACCAAAATACACTTGGATCAAAGAATATAATACCAGGAATGGTAGTGAAAGTACGGACAAGAAATTGAAAACAATGTGAATTACACAACCTCAATGAATCGTCAGAGAGACCAAGAAAACTACAGATGAAACCAAGGAAACCAAAGACAAAACTATGGAAAAACGCAGGAAACAAACAAAATAATTGAAAAACCAGCAGTTAGAAAGCCCGAAAATTAACACGAAGACTTCACAAACAGATAATACACTGAAAGGGTAAAGAAATAGGGTTGAATTGATGGAAAGCCAATTTATTAAACTTGAAGAAAAAGCTCTCAATATTCATCTGCTAGCGGAATAATCAGAAAAAAGAATAACACAGATTTGTTTTTCTGGCAGTCCATGGTACTTTTAATATTCTTCTCCAACACCATCATTTCTTCTGTTGTCTTCCTTATTCATCGAGTCGTTACATATTTCCAGAAGTCAGATTCCCTAAGGATAAAGTCAGATTCTGGGAAGCTCAGTGGCACCTCACTGTTACTGTTTTGCATAAAAATAATGAAAGCACAGAGATATTACAGCATTTAATGCGCATCAGCGCAGTTAATCTCTATGCATACAGGGAGAACATGTTTCTTAAACAAAAAGCTGGATGCAAACTACTAACAGTGAGGTTTTTAAAGAGGAGGAATTAGGGTAGGAAATTAATCACTGACTTAATTGAACATGATTGATACCCATACACCTACCTTTCTTAGATAAAATGGCATCAGGTTACCAGTTGATCTCAGTGCTGGTGGGAATGGGCAAGGGGGTGGGGGTGGCAGGGGCCCTGTTAATTTGCATACATTTTCAGATGTAGTCCCTGAGCTTTAAAAAAACGATCAAATCACCTGAACGTCTCAGAAACTTTCCAAGATTTAGCATTGTCTGCTCTAAATTACAGACTAATTTACTTTTTGGTGAAGTTAAATTTTCAAACACAATGAACTGTACATGGTTTTATGGTTAACATGTGTTTGCAGAAAGTGAGATTGTGAAGGCAAGTTCTCTGTGTCAATCTAGGCCTCAGTGTGCTTTTCACTTTATCTGAGGATTCAATATTTACTACAGATTTTAAAGAGCTTGCAATGGACCCAGGTCTCTCTCCCACGTGGTGTTCTCAGTGTCTGTGTCAGAGATGTAGGTGCTGGGTGGCCCCTCAGATCGATCTGGTTACCAAACTCAAGGGTTTCACCAACTGTTTTCTAGGTATGAATAACCTAGTTGTTGTTAAGTGCTGCCGAGTTGGTTCTGACTCCTAGCAACGCTATATAGGTTTTCTGAGGTTTTACAACTTTCTGTCACAGAGTGACTGGCGGGCTCGAACCACGGACCATGAGGTTCACAGTTCAGTGCTTACTATATGGAGACACTGCACTCCCAGAATAAAACTTTGTTTTAGTTATTGTTCTTGTTAACTGCCGTCTAGTCGATTCTGACCCACAGCAACCCTGTATAGAGTTTCTGGAGGAGTGGCTAGTGAGCTTAAACCACCAACCTTGTAGTTCAAACTGACTTTACAGTCCAGCACAGTAACCCACCTCGCCCCACCAGGACTCCACAATAAAACTTGTTGTTAAGTGCCATCGAGTCGATACCGACCCGTAGTGACCCTGTATAGGGTTTCCAAGGAACAGCTGGTGAGCTTGAACCACCAACCTTGCAGTTCAAACGACTTTGCAGTCTGACGCATTAGCCCACAGCACCACACCAAACTTCTTGTTTGGTGCCATTGAGTCGGTACTGACTCATAGCGACCTTATGCACAGCAGAATGAAACACTGCCCCATCCTGGGCCAACCTCACTATCATTGCCACGCTTGAGTCCATTGATGCTGCCACTTTGCCAATCCAGCTTGCTGGGGGTCTTTCTCTTTTTCTCTCACCCTCCACCCTACCAAACATGATATCCTTCTCCAGCGACTGGTCCCTCCTGACAATATATGCCGATAGCCTGCCCCGGCATACTTATTCCAGGGTATTTTCCGAAGACGTGTGTGGCGTCAGCGATTAAGGGATTATACGGAGTCATGGGTCATAATTCAAATTCTTCTTCTTACATGCTTTATGATTATTATTTCTATGGCTACTCTAATACTCTACTTCTCTCATTCTTTACTGCCCTGCTCATTTTTTTACCCTCCTGCTCATTCTTTCCTCCCCTACTCTCCTGCTCATCATCTCTTCTGCTTCTCTCCCTTTCTCTGCTCCTTTCTTTCCTCTCCTGCTCATCTCTTCCGCTTCTTTACTAGCTTCCCCTCCCTCCATTTCTTTACTGTCTCTTTCTCTACATTACTCTTACTTTTTCTTTCTATACTACTCCTCCTAATTATCTACATTACTACGTTCACTACCCCACTCCCCTGCTTCTTCTCTACATTACTCCCTCTATCCTCCCTCCATTCTTGTCTCCTTCTACTTACCTCTACTTCTTACTTACCTCTACTTACTTATTCTATCTTACAACCCCCTTATATACCATTATAAAAAACATTGCTTTCATAGTAATCAATGACATCATCTTGGGGCACATTCCTTATGGTTTACAACAGGGATGAAAAGTTACAGCAAGGAGACATTATCTCAAGGCATAGGAGACATTCAGGCGCCTTGAAACCTTTTAGTTAAACATTTGTTCCTACATAAACCTCTTCTTTTCTCTGAGAAGCAAGTTAACGTTCACATATGTTTCTTAACCTTTGTCTGTTAAGTCTTGTTAATTTTAGTTGTTAGGTGCAATTAACTCTCCATAACTTCTTCCATACACTATCTGTTTATAGACTACAAAAACATCACTTATCAGGGAAACTGAGGCTATGAAAAACAACTTCTCTAATTTACTGATCATTAATTTAAGAACGTCTAAGTCAGACTTTTTATTTAGTATCTGTATATACCCATAGCCTTTATCTATAGTCTAAATGTTTTTAGAAATTCTTGTACGCACAGCCCTTATTTGTGGCTGTGGGATTCTTTATTGCCTTAAACTAAGGCTACAAGGAAGAATGTTTACAATCACTAAACCTAAGCTGGTAGTAATTCAATTGACAAATCCTATCTCCTAGCAGTCTTAAGAACATTGTTAATATAAGTATTAAAACTACCTAAGATTACAAGTAGAATAAAATGTAGCTAATGTGTGGCTTCTAACTTTTAATAAAAATATATCAAAGTGTAGGAGAGTCAAAAATCTAAAGTAAAAGGGATACTAATAAAATCATGAATAAATCAGAGAATGATTTAACAAGAGAAAAATTTAACTAGGGGTCTGTGCATAGAAATAATTTGCGGCTCTACCATGCAAACAAAATAATTCATCATAGCTCTGCTAAAACAATGAATTCTTCTATGCCCACGTTTCCCCATGTCTCATTTATTTAATTCCTCGATTAATATGTCTCAATTTATTTATTTTAATTCCTTAATTAATTATGGCTGTTGCCATATATGTCCGAAGTATGAGAGACCAAGTTTGGCCCTCCTGGCCTCCAAGGAGCACTCTGGCTGCACTTCTTCCAACACAGATCTGTTGGTTCTTTTGGCAGCCCATGGCACTTTCAATATTCTCCTCCAACACCATAACTCAAAAGCATCAATTCTTCTACAGTCTTCTTTATTCACTGTTCAGCTTTCACATGCATATGAGGTTATTGAAAATACCATGGCTTGGGTCAGGCACACCTTAGTCCTTAAGCTGACATCTTTGTTCTTCAACACTTTAAAAAGTTCCTGTGCAGCAGATTTGTCTAATGCAATACATCGTTTGATTTCTTAACTGCTGCTTCCATGAGTGTTGATAGTTGATCCAAGAAGAATGAAGTCTTTGACAACTTCAATCTTTTCTCCGTTGATAAGAATGTTGCTTATTGGTCCAGTGGTGAGGATTTTCGTTTTCTTTACATTGAGACGCAATCCACACTGAGCTGTGTTTAAATTTGCACAGCAAAGTTTTATTACTTGTAACTAGTAAGGAGACAAGGGGGTCATTCTCAAAGCATCGTCTCTCTGACCAAAGAATTTAAGGAGGTTTTTTTCGGTTTTGTTTTTTAACTTTCAAGGTAATGTTAGGTGTTGTCATATCTACCCTAGGCACAACAGAATGAAACCTTGCTAGGTCCTGAGCCAACCACACAACGTTGCCACGCTTCAGCCCATTGCTGCTGCCACTGAGCGAAGGGGTTTCCTTCTTTTACGCTGACCTCTCCACTTTACCAAGCATAATATCCTTCTCCAGATAATGTGTCTGAAGTATAAGAGAGAAGTCTGGTCATCCTGGCTTATATTCTAGCTGTACTTCTTCCATTCCTCATTTAAGGGAATGAGACATGCATTATTCAAGAGGAACAAGGTTAGCACTGGGCTCGGAAGTCGCCGTCGGACCCCTTGGTTCTGAAATGGATCTGAACGGCTCGCCGTCCTTACGGCACATGTTCTCGCCTCAGTCTGGAACTGGCTCAGGGGTGGTGGCCTGAAGGGTATCTGGAATAGGAACATTAAAAGACAAACCAGGGCAGAGAACGTTGAGGGGTCTCTTTTAAAGGAGAAAACCAAGCGGCCCCTATTGCAAGAAACTGGCTCTTGTGGACCTTTTTCTTGATAATTTTCTTATGTATGGCTTAGCTCAAGGCTCCCATAGGTCTAGGTAGGAATTCTGCAACCTAGCTGATTTATTAGTCCGACCCCCAGCCCCAGTAGATACCAGACTCTCCTATCCGTGCTCGGGCAGGGCGCTACCAAGCGAACGATAGCCTGGACCTGAGTCTGTAGTTCCCTGCGCACGTCCAAGCAGGAGAGCTGGGCCAGAAGAGGAAGAGTCTGCCTAGCAGCGTCCACCGACTCCCCCCCATCACTCAGCAACCCGTACAGCCTGTTTGTCCAATCAGGAGCGCCGGGGCGGAACTTGGCGAATTAGCCAATCAGGGGCTCCAGGAGCGGGACGGCGCCCCCGAAAGCAACTCAGACGTAATTATTCCGCGCGGTCGCTGCCGGACAGTTTCCGACGGCTGCTCCACGGTCTCTGGCGTCCTGGTCCCGGTGGAGCGGACGCTGGGAGATGGTGAGCGCGGGTCCGGGGTCCGATGCGGGGACGAAGGGAGGGGCTCGTTGGGACTGGCCGTGTGTGCTCCCCAGGCCCCGGCTCCACTCTGAGCTCCCGGGACCTGAGTCTGCGGACAGGCGGACGGACCCTTGGCTGCTCCGGCTCGCTGGGCTGGGCTGGCCTCGCCGCCCACCGGGACCCGGGGCGTCCAGTCCGTCCCCGTGTGCGGAGTTCTCGCGTCCCGTACAGACCGTTAGGGAGAGTCCGGCTCGGTCTGTACAGTCCTGGGTGGAAGGTGCTCTCCGGACCCTACAGAGCCGGTGGGGGGCGCCCAGGGGACCCGGTTTCCGCTGAAAGTCTCATCTTTCCCCTGCGGAACAGCTGGTAGTTTCGAACTGCTGACCTTGAGGTTAGCAGCTGAAACTTCCATGTGGGCGAGAAGCAAGTGCGCAAACCTTCAGGATCCGTTCCTTTCCTAGGTCTTCTCAGGGCTGGCACGAAATCCCCAAATCCCAGACCCCTCCCGGCTTTCCCAAAGGCCAGCTGCTCCCCAGCAATCAACTCTTTTGAATTGTAAGGCATTAAGGGTTCATGATTTGTTTCTAGACGGAAAGGATTAACTGATTTGACCAGGATTTGTTTCTTACCTGTGAACAAGTGACACCTCAGTGTCTAGGGCTAACCCAAACGCCCCTCAGCTGCCATTTCTCTTGAGGGATCTAGTGACTACCTCCAAGTGGGGAATCTTCTGTTAAAGACTTTGGGGTGATTACCTTCCCCAACTCATTTTCAGTTCTTGGAGACTCGCTAGTCTTCAGCTGACAGGAAGCTATAAATTAAGGAAGGAGATAAATGATTCCTGCCCTCTGGGTTTTGCGAAATCACCCAAAACTCAGGAGTCACTTCCTACTCTTAGCGACCCCCTAGGCCAGAGTAGACCTGCTCCATAGATTTTTCTGAGGCTATACCTCTTAGTGTAGTGGTTACGAATCGCAGGGTCAGCAGTTCGAAACTACCAGCTGTTCCGCGGGAGAAAGATGAGGCTTTCTGCTCCTGTAAAGATTTACAGCCTCGGAAACCCTATGTAGGGTCACTATGAGTCGGAACCAACTGCACGGCACATAACCACCATACATCTTAACAGAAGCAGACTGCCTCATCTTTCGGCCATAGAGCGGTCGGTGGATTTGAACAACTGACCATTTGGTTAGCAGGTGAGCGCTTAACCACTGCACCACTAGGCCCCTAACCCAACCCAACCGGAAGGATGCTGAAAACCACCCCAGTGAGGAAGATGAACTAACCTGAATAACAACTAGTACTTCAGATGCATGGCAGGGCGCTTGCTGTTTGGAGAGTGGTCAGGGGCCACGGGGTACGGTGTCCTGACTTGGAGCTTGGCTCTGAGTGAGACCTGTGTGTGTCCCTGCTGAACACTAACACTGCCTCTGCCTAGGTTTGCACCTAAAAAAGACTCGTTCCTTATTTCATCCTCAGTTGATCAGGAAATATGAAATATGTTTAGTTAATAGAGTTTGAAACATAAGGGAAATATTTCAGAAGAGGCAAGAAAGGGATGAATTTCAGGGGGATCAGAATTTTCCAGTCTTAGGGCGCTGTGGGTTAATGCACTGAACTGCAGAGTCAGTGTCAACAACAATGTCGGTGGTTCAAGTTCACCAGCCACTCCTGGGAAACCCTACCCAGGTCTCTATAGGTTGAACCAACCCGACAGCACTTACCAACAACAATTTTTGTTTAAAATTCAACCATATTCTCTCTCTTTTTCCTCTGGAGGACGTGTAGTTAAGTTTTCAGATCTATGTTTTCTTTATATGAAAATAAACAGAATTCCAGGACTTCACCCCAAGTGAATGCTATTGGGGAAAAGAATCTCTGAGAAATAGAGACTGTCTCCTGTCTCTTACCATTAGAAAGAGGAATACCTTCTTACAGAAGAAGTGTGGTAGGGTAAATGTTGATTTACAGTGATTCACCAAAACTTCTTATGCAGGATGGGGAATTTGAGATAGTAGATAATTTTGTTCTGCCTTGATATTACCTGGATTTGGGAAATGAATGCTTAATTCTCTGACCTGAAATCTATACAAACCCTTTTGTTTCTATTAATATAGTAATTATATGACATCCTTATTTTCTGAAAGAAATAGATATTTACATGTTTTCTTGTTAAATTATTAAGAAGTCTTACAATTTTATTTCTGCCTTTCTAGGTAAACAGTGAGTGTGAGTGATTTTGCTGTATTCTTCCAACTCTGTCTCATTTTTAAAATCAGTGGTAGTCTGGAGTGAGTGACTGAACACCCTTGACTAGCTGGTCCCTTGCTAGTCCCAGACCAGCAGAGACCGGAGAATAAAGGTGCTTGTTCTTGGGCAGCACCCCCCCGTGGGTGTCCAGGTGTGCTGGCAGGAGCACTTTGTGCTGAGAGCTACTCCAGAACTTGGGAGGCTGGAGGGCCTCATGTGAATACCCTTGGGGGTGATGCCCTCTCTGGGTTGCCGTTGCCATCGTCTGCGGCTGTTTGTAGCCAGTAGGTTGGATTTGTGCAGCCACAGAGTTTGTGAGAGTGTAGTCCATGTGCACTGAGAAGGCTGTGAAGGACAGAGGTAGGGAAGACTCCTTTAGAGTCTGTGCTCTGGAGAAAGGATGTACGGATTTGAGATTTAAATTCTTTTTCGGAATCCTGAGTTGACTGTGGTGGAATGTTGTTATTTGTAAAATTGAAGCCATGGAGGGAAAAGGAGGAGAAGGTGTGTAGAGCTTGTGAATTCTTGTGGCTGCTCAGGCCCCCCATCCTACCCTCACCAAGAAGTGACCCCACCTAGCAGTAGGAATCTGGACCTTAGGACTAGGCGTGTGTGTGATCTCAGTGTGGGTTTCCCTCATGAACTGAGGGTGAAACAGGTTGCTTCTTTGAAAATATTAAAAGTCCCATGGGCTGCCAAAAGAACCAGCAGATCTGTGTTGGAAGAAGTACAACCAGAGTGCTCCTTGAAAGCCAGGATGGCCCGACTTCATCTCTCATACTTCAGACATATTATCAGGAGGGACCAGTCCCTGGAGAAGGACATCATGTTCAGTAAAGTGAAGGATTGGAGAAAAAGAGGAAGACCCCCAATGAGATGGATTGGTCCAGTGGCAGCAGCAGTGGGCATAGGTGTAGCAGTGATTGTGAGGTTGACCCAGGACTGGGCAGAGTTTTGTTCTGTTGTGCAGAGGGGTCACTGTGAGTCAGTACTGACTCGATGACAACTTAGAACAACATCTGAGCTGGTTCAAATGTTTGCTTTTCTTCTCTTTGAATTTCTTTATCAATATTGTTGCCATGTAAATTGTTTCTGTAAGCATTTGGTAAGTAGTTTTCCTGTGTGTGTGTGTGTGTGCGCGCACACACACAAGAAGATAAGAGTGAAACCAAATTCTAGAACCAAATTCCTTCTTGGTGAGAGAGTCTCCATGTATGAGATGAGAATTTAAGTTCTCAGATATTCTTCTCATTTTATAGCCAGTGTTGGTATGTGTATGTGTCAGGCTTCACACCGCAGACCCTCGGAAAGCAGTTCACATACTCAAGAGAGTGGTTGCGGGGGGCTGTTAGTTCCTCTCAGCCAAGCAGCCTCCAGGCACTGTGGTACAGCTCATTTATTGGGTTTCAACAGATGGTTATAATTTGTTTTCTCAGGATCAACATTCTTGGCATGCATAAGCAGGTAGGACGAGTAATAAGGAGCAAGGAACAAAGGCGCGAACAGTTTTCCAAAGGTCGTGTGTTTTTTCATCTCTGGCGTGAACGTAATCAGTACAGTGCCGCCTTCGGTTCTGCATGCAAGAGAGATCAAGAGACCCGGGTCTTCCTGGGGTCTCAGAGTTCTCTTAGCTCGCACAGGTTGACTTCCACAGTGTGTGCCTCGTAACAGTTTTGAGATTTAAAAGGCCCTGGTGTATTGAAAAATAATGGATTTGTCTTTTCTTAAAGTTGGTTAATATAAATTCTATAGCCAGAGTGCAGATAAAAATGAAACAAGAAGGCCATGGTGCATTGACAGAGAACTGCCCGAAATTCAAGCTGGATTCAGAAGAGAATGTGGAACAAGGGCTGGATCTTGGCGGAAAGCAGAGACTCCCAGAAAGATGTTTACCGGGGTTGTATCATTTCACCGTATTTATTCAATCTGTGTTGTTGTTATTGTTAAGTGCCATGGAGTCGGTTCCGAATCACAGTGACCCTGTATAGGGTTTCCAGTGAACTTCTGGTGGGTTTGAATTTATGACTACAGTGGGGAACAAGTAATCTGAGAAGCTCGATTATTTGAAAACTAATGTGGCATCAGGATTGGAGGAAGACTCATTAACAACCTGCGATATGCAGATGGTTGTTGTTGTTGTTAAGTGCCGACCCTGTACTGGGTTTCCGAGGCTCTTTACGGCAGCAGAAAGCCTCATCTTTCTCTCGCAGAACAGCTGGTAGTTTCGAACTGCTGACCTTGAGGTTAGCAGCCTGATTCATAACGACTACGCTACCAGAGCTCCTTACCAGGACCCTTAGCTATCTGGAAATCTGTGTATTGATTGATTCATAAATCTTTGGTGAGATGTCTTCAAATTGTCGCTTGTTTTGTAATTGAGTTGTTGCTTTTTATACTACTGAGAATTGAGAGTTTTTGTACATTTTAGGAAAAAGTCCTCCATCAGAGATGTGCTTTTGGAATCTTTTCTCTGAGTCTATGGCTTGTCTTTTTAATTGTCCTAACAATGGCTTTTACGGTTAATGAAGTTCAACTTATTTATTCTTGTATCTAAAAAGCAATTCTTTGGTTGTATCTAAAAAGCAATTCAATTGGTTGATGATTATAACCATAGCAATGAAACGATATATGATAGGATGAATGTAAAACTACTGTTCTCCCATGTACACTATCATATAATTCACAATAAAACATTAAAAAAAATAAAAGGAATTCAAACCTAATTAGGTCCCTTAGAGTTTTTCTTGCATTATCTTCTAGAAGTAACATAGGCTTAGTCATAACATTTAACTCTGATGTATTTTGAGCTAAGTTTTGTGGAAGCTACAAGCTCTAGGTCTAGATTCCTTTTTTGCCCCACATGCCTGTCCAGTTAGTTAAGGTGCCAGTTGGTGAAAAGATTGTCCGTGCTCTGTTGAATTGCCTTTATTTTTGGGTCAAAGATCAATTGATTCTATTTGTGTGGGTCTGTTTCTGGACTTTCTGTTCCATTGATTTCTTTCTTTCTTTATCACTGTATTTTTTTAAAAAAAAACATTTTCTAGTGACTTGAGTGAAGATTAATAGACAAGATCATCAGATTTCCATTCAACAAATTGTTTCATCTCAATGACTACAATCCCCTCTCTGCAACAATTTATCCATCACTGCTGTTTTGTAGGAAGTCTGAAAGTGGGTAGGAGCAGGCCTCCAATTCTGTTCCTTTTCACTATTGTGTTGGCTTCTCTTACTGTTTGCCTTATCCTATCAAGTTTATCATCAGTTTGTCAATATCCATAAAAATAACTTGCTTGGATTTTGATTGAGAATGCATTGAATCAATCGATCATGTGGTGAAGAAATGACCTCTTAACATTATTGTCTTCCTGCCTGTCCACCAGGAGGTCTGGTGATGCAGTGAGGGCTTCAGTGCTTGCCTGCTGATACGCAGGGAAAAGACCATATATCCTTGGAAACCGTGTGGGCCAGTTCAACACATGGGGTTGCCAAGAGTTGGAATCGTGATGACAATGGCTTTGATTTGGGCCATAAACATGGAATAGATCGATACTTATTTAAATCTTTATTAGGATTTTGTAATTTTCCTCCTATAGAATGTAGATCTCATTTTTAAAAAATATTTATACCTCAGTATCTTCTGACGCTATAGGATAAGTACTCAACCCAGAGGTTGGATTGAACTGCAAGGCCAGTGGTTCAAACTCACCAGCTACTCCTTGGAAACCCTATACTGGGTCAGTATGAGTCGGGACCAACTCGACAGCACTTAAAAACAACAACATCTTGTTTTGTTAGTGCTAATATAATGAAGTCCTGATGTGGTGCTGTAGGATAAACACTGGACTGACTATAAGGTCGGTGGTTCAAATCCACCAGCTGCTGTGAGTTGGAGCTGACGCGATGGCAGCTGGTTTTATTTTGTTTTAATCCAGAATCTAATTGCTCATTGCTAGTATAGAGGAGAGTGGTTGATTTTAGAATTTTGAATCTTAAAACCTTGTTACAATTACTTGTTTGTTTTTTTGCTTTTCAAAGTACTTTTAAGAAAAAAAGCGGGGCATTGGAAGTTTTGGTTCTTTTTTCTCCCCTGTTGCAAATTCACATTATGGTTTGGTTGGGTGGTGGCGAGTGCGTATTATCTGCTGGTGGCGCTGCCCCCAGCAGGTGGATGAGACTTTCTATCAGAAGGTGACCACGTTTAGATGCTGAGAAAGCAAGTAGAGGGTGAGTAAGTCACGGTGGTCTTCATCCTCGTCGGTCTTCTGCTTCTTGGTGTCAGCATCCTCCTCCTCCTCATCTTCAGCTGCCCGTTTGCCCAGAGCTGCGTGGACCTCCTCATCTTCGTCTCCATCTTCTCCCTCGTCCTCCGCTACCTCATTGTCAGCCTCCTGATCCCCGTTTTCCTCGGTAGTGTTCCCATTAGTGGGTACATCTCTTCCATTTTCTGTTTCCTCCACAACCTCCTCCTTCCCCTTTAAGTCCTTGGTGGTGATCTCGGAGCTGGTGTCCACAGCCGCATCTGACATGGTGGGTCATGCCGGTGATGCAGTACAGAGGATGACAGAGAGCAGCAGTTCCGGGACTCTGGCGAGAGAGCTGCTGGAGCCCGTGGTGGCGGCGGTGAGCAGGGAGCCGGACCCGGAAACAAGGCACAGATGGTTTTTCCAAGCAGCCAGGGCCTATAATTATTTTTTAATCCCAGGAGTTTGTGTTGGTTAGTTGGTAGGAAGCAGGTTTTTGGAGTGTTTTTACATAGATGGTTATATCATCTGCAACCAAAGATAGTTTCTTTTCTTTCTTGTCTGTATACCTTTTATTGTTTTGTCTGGTTGTATTAGCTAGAATCCCTCTCAAAAGTGAGGATGGGAGACTGTGTTACGGACTTTGGACCTGTCAGCAGGAGAGCCCAGTCTCTGAAAAAAGCTTCATGCTTGGTAAAGTAGAGGGCCAGTGAAAGGGGAAGAGCCCCCGCAGGATGGCGGCACCACTGGGCTCAATCACAGCGCAGTGTGAGGATGACACAGAGCTGGGTTCTGTTGCGCGCAGGTCACTGTGAGTCGGAGCCGACAGGAGAGCATCCAAAAACATGACTTCTAGTACAGTAAGGAGCAGGGGCTAAGGTGCTAACCAAAAGGTCAATGGCTTGAACCCACCAGATGTGGCCATTGCCTTCTGTAAAGATCTATAGCCTTGCCCACCACAGGGTGGCCAACCACTGGAGACCGCAAAGCCCACATTTCCCCGAGGACAGAGTTCAGAAGGCTTGGGAGAGGAGGAGGAGGAACAGAAACAAGCCCAGGGAGCAAGTGGCATTGAGTGATGCTACCTAGAGGGAACCGTAGTCATGGAGATGAACCACGTGTAGGATTTATTCAATGGAAAACTCTTCTGCTCTGGAAACCTCCACTCAGTTCACAATAAAACATTAATAATAATAATAATAATAATAATAAATGATTGACACCTTTGGAAGTTCTCTAGGGCAGTCCTGTTCTGTTCTAGAGAGTTTCTGTGTCAGAACTGACTCTCACAACTGTAAAGGGAGAAGTTTTGTAACAAAAACGGGGGAGCAGTTAATCATACAGTCCAGAAACAGAGGACCCTAGGACCATCAAGGGAGAAAGGCACAAGTGGAATGTGGGACCCTATCCAGAGAAGCAGTGACACCAGCGATGGAGGCAGAGATGAGGACATGGAGAGATAGAGCAGCTGAGGACTCTAGACTCATGGAAAGAGAAAGGTTGTGTGTTGGCGGCCAGGAAGCAAGCTTACAGAGCATGCTCTTTGGTTGTTTAAATGATTATATATTCCTGAGTGTTTTTGTGAATATCCCTCGAACTCTACCCTCCAAAAAACAAACAGAGGGAATAGAAGCAAATCCTGTTGGATGATGATGCACAGAGGAGATTGTAATCATTGCAATGAAACAATGAGTGTAAAACCGATGTTCTCCTATGTAAACTATCACTCAATTCACAATAAAAACTTTAAGAGGAATTTCTCTATTCCGAGTTTCCTGAGCATTTATATTATGAATGGGTGTTTGACTTTTTTAGTTTTCTTGAGTCTTTTGATTTGATCATATGATTTGCAGCCTGTTGATATGATAAGCTGCATTGCTTTGCATATGATGAAGCAGTCTTGCATATGCCTTTGGTCCATCCATTTGATCACGGGCTGTAATTCTTTTTATAAATTTTTACATTTAATTAAAACAAATTTTTTTATTGTGAATTGAGTGAAGGTTTACAGAACAAACCCCCATTCCCACGTTGAACAAATCCTGCCCTTCATTTTATTACAGTGATTGCGTCCCCTCCATGTACTGTTTACTTGATCTCTTCCACTCCTCCATGGGTCTCTCTACCCTTATATTCCATTTTCTAGTATTTTCTTAACAGATTTATAGATCTGTGTTCCTGAGAGAGAATTGATTTGTAATTCTTTTCCTAGTAATGCCTTTGTCTCATTTTTGGTGTTGGGGTAGTACTGCCCTCATAGGCGGCGTTAGGAAGTTTTCCTTCTTCTCCTAGGTGTAGTAAGCATTGGGAAGACTGGTGTTAATTCTTTGTTAGGTTTAGTGAGATTTGCGTTTCTGAGTTTCTGGCCTCTATCATTTCCTTCTCTCTGAAGAACTTGGCAGCAGGGCCAGCCACCAGGTGTCATCCAGTTGACTTCAACCCATGACCACCCCATGTGTGTCGTGATAAAACTTTGCTAAGGTACAAGACGAGTGGGTGGGTGATCCCTTTTCCACATGGAATTCTAGAGGGACTGAGGTTGAATATTTCCTATTCTCCAATTTGGAGTCCTGGTGTGGCATTGTGGGTTAATACACCAGACTGTAAAGCCGTTTGAACCACAAGGTCGGCAGTTGAAGCTCACCAGCTGCTCCCTGGAAACCCTATATAGGGTCGCTATGGATCGGAATCGACTCGACGGCACTTCACAACAACAATGTTGGTGACGGAGTCCTGGTGTAGTACTGTGGGTTGATGTGCTGGACTGTAAAGTCATTTGAACAGAAAAGTTGGCAGTTCAAGCTCCCCAGCCGCTCCTTGGAAACCCTATACAGGGCCGCCGTGGGTTGGAATAGACTTTAACAACAAACGCTGGTAAAGGAGCCTAAGTAGTTTCCCTTGAGAGCAGGCCAGCCTTTGTTCAAGTGAACAGAGCGCTACTTTTAAATGGTTACTTTCCCCTCTCGTTTTGTCTGTTATCTTTGAGCTTTACAATGAGGACCAGGTGTGGCGGTGGTGGCGGTGGCGGTGATGATGGTGGTGGCGGTGGCGGTGATGATGGCGGTGATGGTGATGATGGTGTGATGGTGGCGGTGGTGGTTATACTGTGGAGTCGGTTCCGACTCCAAGCGACCCTGCATAGGGTTTCTGTGGCTCCCCAGTACTGACCTCATTGCTGTCTAGGCTCAGCTTCAGTGAGACCAGCTGGCTTTGGGCAGAGCATTTTCTGCAGTGCAGTCTCGGAGTGGAGTGAATCACTCGGAGTGGGACTAAAGTATTGTACAACTACAATCAGGCCCATGCAGCCGAAGACAGAGCCGTGTGAGAACGGTGTAGAAACCAAGGACTGTGCAGAGCTGCTGCCAAGGGAGGAAGTGACAGCCACCACTCAGGTTCGGACGGTCGGTGTCCAGAACTTTGACAAAACACAACTCTGTTCTTTGAAGCCACCACTTGTGATACTTGTTACAGAAGCTCTGGGAAACTACACACAGAACTTGGAGCTGGGAAGCGGACAGTGAAGCTATGAAATACCTGGAACACGGAAGTGGTTTTGCAATTGGGTAATGGACAGAAGCAGGAGGCATCCTGATGAGCTCGATAGTGAGGCCCCAGAGTGTCCTGAGGAGATGATTGGTGGAATGATGGGCCTTGAGGGCGAAGCTGATAAAACCTCAGAAAAGAATGAAGAGCTGGAGGAAGACTTTTATCACCAGCGATATAATGATGCTACATACCTGGCTGTCCAGTGTGTTTCTGTAAGGAGCTCGGAAGCCCTGTGCAGGATCACTATAGGTCTGAACTGACTCCACAGTACTTACCAACAACAACAACAACAGTGTGCTTCTTTGTTGTTGGTAAGTGCTGTGACTGCTTTTCAGTACACATAAGCACATTTCACGTCAAAGCTAGGCTATCATTATTTCTGTCAATAGTACTTACTGCATGCATTTTTTGCATGGATATTATATTTTATAATAAGGTACTCTATAAACAAATTAATTGACCTAAAATAATTACTTAACGGTGTCAAGAACCAGTTTGTAATATTCAGTACTGAGATATGGCAAGACCCTTAGCCTGACGAGTGAGGTGGTCACACACACAGCAGGTGCATGTAGGAGAAGGAACTTTCACAGGACATATTGTCTTCTCTAAGAAAATTAGATACAAACCAAGGAAGCCTGTTACCTCATTCCTGGTCAATATTGTATGAAAGTTCCAAGCTAGTGCCACCAGAGAATCAGCAAAGGTACAAAAATCATTCAGAAGAAAGACTGGTCCTAGCAATTATGCGTGGAGGATACAAGAGAATAAAAAATAATCCCAGAGTAAGAATCTTTGTAAGATTCCAGTATATAAACAATATAAAAAGAGCTCACTACCTCTTTGTTACAAACCATTGCTAAGTGGGGTCCTGGTGTGGCACTGTAGGATAAGCTCTAGACTGCTAACTGTAGGGTCAGCAGTTCACACCCACCAGCGGCTCCTCAGAAATCCGATAGCAGGTTGCTGTCAGTCCTGAACTACTCGATGGCACAACAACAACACAAAGCAAAGGAATTAATTTTTGAAAAGCTAACACATGCTGTGGTAAGAACCAAATGAAGGAGGGTAAGTCTAATGACAGTGAGGAAAAACATCCCCAGATTTAAGGCGCTCGACAGGACTAGGATGTGTGGCTGGGCTGTGGACCCAAATTCCTGTTTCTTACCACTTTGCACCACTTTACAGTATGCCTTTGTGTGTGTAAGCCCTTCAGTGCCTGTGTTAACATTTCTCTGCACACTCGATCGATAATGGACCATTGGTACTAGAACATGTAGGAGCCCTCACGGATGGAGCTGACGTCCCTGTGCCCCTGGTATTCTGACCACACAAATCCAGCGTCAGCATTTCGGCGTGCCAGTAGTTTCTCGTTTGCCTGCTCACGGATGTGTGTTGGGGGCTGATCTTTTTCAGAGACAGGGATTTAGGGGGACCATACAGCATGATTGCTTGGCAAAGTGGACGATCAGCAAAAAGGAGGAAGGCCCCCCAATGAGACGGACTGGCACAGTGGCAGCAGCATGGTGAGGGTGGTGCGGCGGGACCAGGCAGGGTTTCGTCCTGTTGAGCATCAGGTTGCTGTGAGTCGGTACTGACTCAGCTACACCTAACAGCAACAACAACGCAGCCTAATGGTGGCCTGGCTTGTTCAGCTGCCGTGCTGTGTGCTCACGGTTGAACTGGAAGTGAGTGAAGCTGGGAGTTCTGGGGAACCTGTTCTTTCTGGAAATTGAGGCAGGCATTATAGTCTCATAGAAAAGCACTGCTAGCCTTCATGAATGTTATAATCCTGGGAAAAGTCACAGTCCAGTTTTGTATTTGGAGTTACCTCCTCAGTAAAGTTGGCTCATAACCTCTGCTTCAGAGTCGCCGAGTATTTTGCTTTGTTTTTTATGGTCTGGTGGAAAGATTTCTGAGACATCTTGCAATGTGTGTGTGTGTGTGTGAGAGAGAGAGAGATGTGAGAGAGAGAGAGATGTG